GGGTGAGGCGGCAGCTAGCAGAGTGGGCAGTCCTACATGTGCACGTAGGTAAACCAGGAGGAACAAGTGGGCAGCAGACAGGCCACCCAACCCAGGGTTCCATTGAGGGGAAATAACGCCTCAAAACCTTTGACCGAAAACACCTGTTGAGGTTGAGGCAGCAGGAAAAACTCCCAGCCTTACGGGAGAGTTCTCTGGAGAGACCCACAGGGTCCTAGAACATATACAAACCCACCCAGCCAGAAATCAGCACCAGCAGGGCCCAATTTGCTTGTGGGTAGCAGAGGAAGTGGCTGTAACCTTGCAGGGAGCTAAATAAGCAGCATTGTTCCCTCTCAGACCTCTCTGCCACATACAGTGCCACAACCCAGTGATGTGGGTTGCTCTACCCTGGCGAATACCTAAGGCTTTGCCCCTTACTAGTAACAGCTGTGCTAAGAAAAAAAAAATATGGCCCAAATGAAAGAACAGATCAAAGCTCCAGAAAAAATACAACTAAGCTCAGATGCACAGTTCAAAACACTAGTAATAGAGATACGCACAGAATTGGTTGAGTATGGTCACAAAATAGAGGAAAAAGTGAAGGTCATGAAATGCGAAATAAAGGAAAATGCACAGGGAACCAACAGTGAAGGGAAGGAAACCAGGACTCAAATCAACAGTTTGGACCAGGAGGAAGAAATACACATTCGACCAGAATAGAATGAAGAAACAAGAATTCAAAAAAAATGAGGAGAGGCTTAGGAACCTGCAAGACAACTTTAAACATTTCAACATCTGAATCACAGGGGTGCCAGAAGGAGAAAAGGAAGAGCAAGAAATTGAAAACTTATTGGAACAAATAATGAAGGAGAACTTCCCCAATCTGGCAAAGGAAATAGACTTCCAGGAAGTCCAGGAAGCTCAGAGAATCCCAAAGAAGTTGGACCCAAGGAAGTACACACCAAGGCACATCATAATTAAGTTACCCAAGATGAAAGTTAAGGAGAGATTCTTAAAAGCAGCAAGGGAAAAGGAGAGAGTTACCTGCAAGGGAGTTCCCATAGGACTCTCAGCTGATTTCTCAAAAGAAATCTTTCAGGCAAGAAGGGGCTGGAAAGAAGTATTCCAAGTCATGAAAGGCAAGGACCTATATCCAAGATGACTCTATCCAGCAAAGCTATCAATTAGAATGAAAGGGTAGATAAAGTGCTTCCCAGACAAGGTAATGTTAAAGGAGTTCATCACCAAGCCATTATTATATGAAGTGTTAAAGGGACTTATCTAAGAAAATGATAAAAATATGAACAATAAAATGACAACAAACTTACAACTATCGACAACTGAAATTGTACTAAATGTGTACTATCGACATACTAAAAAACAAAAATAAAAACTAAGCAAATAACTAGAACAGGAACAGAAACACCAAAATGGAGATCACATGGAGGGTTATCAGTGGGGAAGAGGAGAGGGAGAATGGGGGGAAAGGTACAGAGAATAAAAAGCATAAATGGTAGGTACAAAATAGAGAGGGGTAGATTAAGAATAATATAGGAAATGGAGAAGCCAAAGAACTTATGTGTATAACACATGGACATGAACTGAGGGGGGTGATGCTGGAGGGTGGCAGGGTGCAGGACAGAGAGGGGGTAAAAGGGAAGAAAACATTGGGTCAAGTGTAATAGCATAATCAATAAAATATACTTTAAAAAAGAAAAGGAAAACAAATATATGGCCATATACTAAATACTTACAATACGTTATAATTATTGTTTCCTAGGAAAGATATGAACAGAATGCTGATTGGTTTATGCTATCAAATGGCATCATAGCAGAAGTAACATTTTGCTGTGTTCTTTTAAAGAAACTGAAGTAATTTTAATAGGACTTAATTTAACTTATTTCTTTTTAACCTTCTTTAGAAATAAGTAGCAAGATCTCCTTGACAGAATGACAGGTAGATGATGGATGACAAATGAAAGAGCTGAAGTGTCATTATCTTAAGTAATATTCACTGAATTTTCTTGATAGCTAAGAGGAAAATGAGCTTACCCACAGTTCACAAAAATCTGTCACTTCCCTATGAATAATCTTCCATTTTTTCCAATGGGCGCAGTAGTGCTGGCCAGTTAAAAAAGAAGATACTAAGCTATGACAAGAAGGATCACTTATATATAATCACTTGGGTATTTAGTTAGATAACCTAATTGAAAGAGAACCATTACTAATGAAAATGATTAATGTAATTTAACCTAGACCTTAATGATTTCTTTTTTATACTCTTTTTAAGTAAAAGCCAGCAAGACTCCAAATTCATTACACACATATGAACACAGGAGAATAGTAATTTTCCTATTTTCACAGTACTCAGGTGGCAAAATCAATTTAGGTTTAGAAACAATAGTTCATCATTTCTGTTTCAGTTTTAATCATGTGACTGAGGTAAACCATATTATCACACTTATTACTAATTACACTATAAGCACTTCATTTGGTTAAATGTATTACAATTCATATTTCCTCAGCATAAAAGACCAAGTTCCACATATACTTAACACTTTGTGTATCGATCCATGTAACAACAAATAACTTATTTCTCACAATAAAGCTAAAAGAAGAATTCTGATGATTGCCTTTGCCTGTGTATTTCCCTAGCTTAGTTTATACATTATAGTCATTCTCCAGTATAATTTGTCACAGTATAATTGAAAGCTCTGGTACTAGAAGTTCTAGAAAGATTTCAATGTACTCTTTTAATTGTAAAAGTGCTCTGCAATATAGATTATATAAAGGGTAATAAGCTTCAGTATACTGATAATCAGCTCCAGCTCTGCCAATGATTAGTGTCTGACTATGGACAAGATAGATTCTACACACCTTGGTTTATCTATCTGCAAAATAGTGGGCCAGACCCCTTCAACCTCTAGAAGTCTATGACTTATAAATACCTTTACAAACTACTCTTGTATTAAATGCAGCCAAAAGCCAAAATGGAAAAGAAATATGTAAAACTTGACCACTTATTTAAAATTTAGTCATTCACAAAAAAATTTGTTTATATAATAGACAGAAAAAGCTTACTCTGTACATTAACAATGCATGGTATACATAAATAAAAGACCAAATAAATGTCTAATCACTATGTTGTATACCTGAAACTAATATACTGTATATTAACTATAACCGAAAAATAAAATTTAAAAATAATCTAAAAATATTAAATAGCTAATGAAAAAGTATTCATTATGCATGATGTGTAACAAAATGCAAAAATGAATATGACATTTAAAGCTCTCCAAGTGGGGAGACTAAAAATGTATACAAATGAACATGTGAGAAGGGAAAATGTAATAAGCTCTCTAATAAAGCATATATAATGTTGTAATGGGTGGGCAGTAAGAAGAAAAGTCGAAGCTATTCTTTTTTAAAGGAGACAACGGGGAAGAGACCATAAATGATCACCCCACAAGAACTTCTACTGGGCAATTCTTTATTGGCCAAGGGTATATGTACATGAAATAAGTAACATTTTACTTATTTAAAATATTCTAAAATTTAGATAGAATGGGCCTTTAATTATTCAGGCATTATTGTGTTTATTCTTTTTAAAGATTGTTTATTTATATTTAGAGAAAGGGGAAGGGAGCGAGAGAGGGGGAGAAACACTGATGTGGGAGGGAAAACATCAATCAGCTGCCTTTCACATGCACCCCAACTGGGGACCAGGCCCACCACCCAGGCATGTGCCCTGACCAGTAATCAACTGGTGACCCTTCTCCTTGCAGGATGACGCCCAACCAACTGAGCCATACCAGTAAGGGTAATGTTTATTTTTAATATGGAGTGACACCATAAAACATTCTTCTCCTTGTCTCCCCATGTTTACAAAAGGGAAGTGTCAACGCTAATGTTATCTAAGCCTTGGGTTTGGAGGTGAGGAGATGGCTGAAACTATTTAAGCAGTAAGACACAAAGTTAACATGACTTCCACTATCACTCCCACCATTTAACTAAACAAACAAGGTCTACGAACTCTGTGTGGACAGGAGCCAAACAGAAGCAATCTTCTGTAAACCTCTGCTGGTAGTGCTAATAGCAAGGAAAGCATATGAAAGGGAAAAGTAGCTTGTAAGGAACTATAATTAAATAAAACAAGTGTTATCAGGTGACAGCAGTATCACAGTCCTCACAACTAAACAAAACTAGTTTAAGGGATTATGAGCAAGGGAAGATTAGTTGACTTTATCACTAATTTAAAACAGAAAAAAATTAAAGTGTTAAAATGTACAGAAGATAGTTTTTAAAAAGATTCATAGAGACCATTTGTTCAGGAATTTGCCACCATTTTTAGAAAAGTTTTGAAGACAGAACTAAAGTCACATCATCCATAAAGAGACTACATGAAAGGCCTTGTGATATATTTCAACAATATTCCCTAGTACCTTTGCCTATGTTATTTCTTCAGAATATCAGACTAAAAGAGGTCAGAATAAGACCGAACTTTAATATATATTATTCCTTAAGCACTAGACATATCTAAGCATAATACACATGGAACACGGAAAACTAACAATCTAAGCACAACTGGCACATAAATCCCTATGTATTTCAGCATTACATTCATTTTTGCCAAAGTGGAAATACGACAAATCATAAATAAACCAAAATGCATGGACATGGAATTTTGCATTTTGAAGGAATCAAAGGGAGAATTTAGTCCCCACAATTTGCAGCTAGTTAGTAGATCAAAACTAGCATTCTAGTTCTGGCTTCTAATCAGGTGTTCCTTATACTACACCACACGGCACACTTGTGTTATCGCTAAGATCCAAATATAATCCCTTCTGTTTTTCTAATGTTTAAAAGATATTGACAATCACATTCCCCACTTATTTATTCTACAATGATCAGGATATGACATTTACTCCAGAATACACCTGACAAATGTAGACTATAACTTAAAGATTTCAGCAATTTAACATTAATGAGACAACGTGAAACACATTTATAATTGATACCTTTGCTCCATCTGAAATATTGTCCCAGTTTCCACCACTCAAAGAGAACTTTCCATTGCCTATACGCAGCAGTATCTCTTCAGGAGTATCATTGGGGCCATTAGCAAACGGAGTGTAGCTATTAATAAAATAGATTTTAATAAACATAAGGGCCTAGTATACACATCAAATCTAACTGAAAGTGGTGAACATAAGAGTACATACACATATTTACTATAGCAAATTAAGAATATCATCTAATATTTCCCTTCACTGTGCATATCCAATTTGACACTTTGAACAATGAAGTTAATCCTAATTAATTGAGTCCTGTCTATATCAATGTTTTTTGCCTTTGATCAATGTAAAATAAAATAAATGTGGCCTTTCATGTAAAGCTAGTATTAAAATCAGACCAGAATAAAATACACAAATTTCGTATTCTCTCAGGCATAAGTTAGCCAAACAAATATATCTACTATGAGGAAATTGTTCATTTTAAATGCATTTATTATATTGGTTCAAATTTATTCATTAGTGTTTTAAAAACATTATCAGTGAAAAAAGATTAATAATAATCTTAATTAATGTCCATAAAAATGGATTAAATATTCATATCAAAATAACAAAAAAAACTCTATAGCCATTAAAATTATTATGTGGATCCATGTTCATAGACAAGAAGACAAATACATTGTACAAAGGTAAAGTAGTTCAAAAATTAATTATAGAGTGACAAAAAGTGATCAGTTTTGTACCATTTCAATAGGTGGAACTAAAAATAGTATTCAAATTTAGGAACAAAAAGACTTACTGTTAAAAAGTATCAGAAATATATCTTAACATCTCAATGACTTAATTTCTTCACATAATAATTAAGTTGATATATCACTAAACACACATATATACACTAACAATCATGTTTTGTTTAGTCATAAAATAAATAATGGGAAGCAGCAATCCAGAAATGGTATCCTATAGTTCATTTGCAATATATATTCGTTATAAAGCTCAATCTTACTAAATCTCTAGTGCCAGGAGAGCCAGAATTCAAGTACTTTAAAAACCATTACTTCAATTTCCATTGAAAACTCTTTTAATTATGTATCTGCATATTGCCTCATTAAATGCCTTGCCTTATGTTTTTTTTCAATTTTATAAGTAAATAATATATAATATTTTGAAATGTTAATAGAATTTTCCTTAAGGTAATTTTCATCTGTCCTCATCTTACAAAATAAAGAGGTGAAATTTAAATAATGGTGTGGATTATTTTGTGTATAAAAGGTTTCTTACCCAGCCAACATTGTGTAAAAAAGGACTCCCAGACTCCAAATATCACAAGCAGCATCATAGCCCTGTTGCATAAGAACCTGAGAAAGAAATACTTAAATGGTATTACCCAGTATAATCTCCATCTTCTCATCTGAAAGTTGTGCTTCTAATAATGTCACAAATGTTTGCAATTTAAAAACTTACTTATTTTAATCTTTTCAAAAATAGATTGACATAATGTTAAAAGCGAAAATCTTTTGCTACTAGCAAGTATTGAATAAATGACTATTAATAAGGTAAGTAACATGGGTTATACAAAAAACACCCTTGTAAAATATGATCCCTGACCTTAATGAGCTTTCACTTCTCCTGTTAGGAAAAACAAATACAGACATCAAAATTTAAGATTAATATATACAGAAAACTTACTATATACTACACACAGTACTCTCTCTAATCCTGACACTGACTCTATGAGGTAGATATTATTTCCACTCTGGAGACAAGGAAAGTGAGGCAAATGTTCAGTAATTTGCCTAATACCACAAAACTAGTAAGCAGTAGAATGAGTCTTCTTACTCTAGAGCTTGTGTTTTTATTATCTATGATAATTGCCTCTTTACTACATAAGAGATGGTAAGATAATATATGATCTTATGAAAGAAAGATGAATTTATATTTTATATACAAAGTTTATGTATTGAAAAGAGCAGTATATTTCTGGAACACAAATACACATTTGATAAATTCTGAATGGTTTCATTAATTTTTCATACAACAATTTAGGTAGCTCATGTTTTTGCTCTTGGCACTAGTGTTAATAAAAATCAAATAATACATTTATTATATATTCATGTGAGTTTTCTCCATGAGCTTAATAAAGTTTGTAGAAAAACAGATGAAATATAGCCTTTTTATTTGGAATAATAAGTGCACTGTTAAGGCCTTTAGGCATAGGAACAAAATAGACACATTATTAATGTATTAACAGTGGGGACTGTATAACTACCAGCATGGACATTTCATTTAGAAAAGGCTGAATATATTGTTTGTCTTTGACAATTGCCAGACATAAATAATGAGTATCTAACTTAAAATTCAAGATATAATGTTTTTTTCCTAGTTAAATTGGATTTATGTAAACACACATATGTGCAAACCTGAAAAGCTGAAGAGGCTATCAAAATACCTAGATAACTGGCTTATGTAAATAACACAAGTAGGGACTACAACAGCCCTAATAAATAATGAGGCACAGCTAAACCACTCAAGTCAGGGTAACCAAAGTTGGCATGCATTAATAAAACATAAACCTCTCCTGTTTTCTTTCTTACTCTATTTCTTTTCTCATCAACTCTTGCAGTTCCAGGCACCATCACCATGTTTCCCCTGGTTCCCTTATGACAGTATTTTTGTTTATTGTTGGTATGACTGAGGTCAGTATGTTTACTTTAAAATTTCTTAACGATTTTATTCATTTTTAGAGAGAGGGGAAGGTAGGGAGAAAGAGAGGGAGAGAAACATCAGTGTGTAGTTGCCTCTTGTGCGCCCCCTACTGGGGACCTGGCCCACAACCCAGGCATTTGCTGACTGGGAAACCAACCAGCAATGCTTGGGTTAACAGCCCAGCACTCAATCAACGGAGTCACACCAGCCAGGGCTGAGGACAGTATTTTTAAAGTGTCCCAGTCTACAGCCAAGACTGAGGGACTTCCCAGGAACTTGTTGGACAGGTGAAGGTTAATCACTGAGTCAGCTACAGGTATTTGACACTCCCATTTCCTTCCTAGGTAATGTGAAAAAGGGCACACGATGTGTCATATTGCTGACTCTAATTAGGACCCACCATGAAAAACTTGCTTTACATATTTACCACACACTTAAGCCCATTTTGTATGGGTACAGAAGAGGCAGTCCACTTTTGCCCGAGAGAGGGCCTCAATGCCCTATAATGTTAAGAACATACACCCATAAAAGAAAAAAGGCAAGGTAGTGGGATGGATGAAATCATGAGTGCAGTGCAGGACATGGGTTTAATACCTTCCCACTCGCATCAAGTGAAATATAAGAAGAGAGAAGTTAGAATTAAAGTAGTTAATGCCATTACCTTTTTTCTCACTTGGTTTTATAAATGAGCAAAAAGTACCATAGACAAAGATCCTCATTTCCTTGGTTTGAAGTTCCCCTTAATTCATATTTGGAGCAAAACATATAACAGCCCAGAGGGCAGCAAGGCAGAGTAATTAATTTCACACTTATTTTATAAAGAGCTGAAGGAACAACATCCATCCAATTTATTGTAAGTTCCTTTAGTCTGGATAAATTTTAGGCCTCCAGAGACATTAACTATCAGTTGCATACTATAAAGGACTTACTTTATAAAATAATAAAATACTTGTGGAGATATTTATTTTGTGACATAGATATTGTAGAAAAGCAAATCAAGTATGCAACTCTTAAGAGGTTGATTGAACTGATGCATATCAAAAAGTGATTTCATTCCTTATTGTGATGAAATTGTAATTAGTTTAAAAAAGGACTGTTTATGCACTATAATGAAACAATATATATCCCCATAGTGCTACATATATTCAAATATCTGCATATGTACTTGAATATTTCTAATTCTAGTTTAAAAGACAAAGCATTTCATATACTTCAGTACTAATTTTTTTAAGGGTCTGAAATTTCACAAACAAACCTCACCCAAAACCTCATTCATAACAATTTACACATATTCACTGTTTGCTAGCAGAGGCTTCAGAAGTTGATAATAAAACTTTTCAGAGAGTTGTTTTTAATTTTTATTGAATTTACTTGGGTGACATTGGCTAATGAAACTACCTAGGTTTCAACCATACACTTCTATAACAAACCATCTGTATACTGTATTGTGTGTTCACCACCACAAGGCAGGTCTCCACCCCAAGTTAAGTCCCCTTCCATCACCATTTATCACCCCCCTTTCCCCTCTCCTTCCTCCCCCACCCCCTTGCCCTCTGGTAATCACCAAACTGTGGTCTGTGTCTGAGTTTCCATTTCTTTGCTTAATCCCTTTAACTTTTTCACTCTGCCTCCGAACCTCCCTCCCTTCTCACAGCTGTCAGTCTGTTCTCTGCACCAATGCCTCTGCTTCTATTTTGTTTATCAGTTTATTTTGTTCATTGGATTCCACATATAAGTGAAATCATATGGTGCATGTCATTATCTAACTGACTGACTTGATTTAGCATAATATTCTCCAGGTGCCCCCATGCTTTCACAAAAGGTAAGACTTCCTTCTTTTTTTTTTTAAAGTTTGACTTTTCTTCTTTTTTTTATTATTTATTTATTTTTAGAGAGGAAAGGGGGAGAGGGGAGGGAGGGGGAGAGAGAGAGAGAGAGACAGAGACAGAGAGAGAGATAGATATCAATGTGTGCTTGCTGGGGGCCATGGCCTGCAACCTAGACATGTGCCCTGACTGGGAATCGAACCTGCGATGCCTGGTTCGCAGTCCGTGCTCAATCCACTGAGCTACGCCAGCCAGGGCGACTTCCTTCTTTTTTATAGCCATATAGTATTCATTGTGTAAATGTACCATGGCTTTTTTTATCCATTCGTCTACTGATGGGCGCCTTGGGCTGCTTCCAATGCTTTGCTATTGTAAGTAAAGCTGCAAAGAACACAGGAGTGCATATATTCATTTATGTTAGTGTTTCATGTCTCTTCAGATATATTCCAAACAGTGGAATAGCTGGATAATAAGGCAGTTCCATTTTTAATTTTTTAGGGGTAATTCCATAGTGTTTTCCACAGTGGCTGCACCAGTCTGCATTCCCACCCACAGTGCACTAGGGTCCCCTTTCTCCACACCCCGGCCAGTACTTGTTGTTTGTTGATTTATTGATGGTAGCCATTCTGACCAGTGTGGTGATATCTCATTATGGTTTTAACCTGCATTTCCGTTTCGTGTGTGTATATGTGTGTGTGTGTGTGTGTGTGTGTGTGTGTGATGTTGAGCATATTTTCATATGTCTATTGGCTTTCTCTATGTCCTCCATGGAAAAGTGTCTGTTCAGATCCATTAAATATTTTTAATTGGATTATTTCATTTTTTGGTGTTCAGTTGTATAAATTCTTTATAAATTTAGGATAGTAACACATTCAAGGGTTGTCTTTTAATTTTGTAGATGGTATCCTTTGTTGTGGAAGAACTTTTTGTTTGATGTAGTTTGTTTATTTTTTCTTTTGCTTCCCTTGCCCGAATGGGGGAGGGGGAAAACTGCTATGAGAAATGTCTAAGATTTTACTGCCTATGTTTTCTTCTAGGATTTTTATGGTTTCAAGTCTAATATTTAAGCCTTTAATCCACTTTGAGTTTATTCCTGTGTATGGTGTAAGAGGATGGCCTATTTTCTTTCTTTGCATGCATCTGTCCAATATTCCCAACACCATTTACTGAATAGACTATCTTTACCCCATTGTATATTTCTGCCTCCTTTGTCAAACATTAATTGACCATAAGGGGTGGGTTTATTTCTGGGTCCTATATTCTATTTCATTGAGCTATGATTACTATGGTCATATAGTTTGATATCAGGTAGTAAGATTTCTTCAACTTTATTTTTCTTTCTTGACATTGATGTGGCTATTTAGGTTCTTTTGTGGTCCATATAAACTTTTGGAATATTTGTTCCAGTTCTGTGAAACAAGCCATTAGTAACATGATAGGAATAGTGTTGAGTCTATAGATTGTTTTGGGTAGTATGGACATTTTAATGATGTTAATTCTTCCTATCCATGAACACGGTATATGCTTCCACTTATTTGTGTCTTCTTCAATTTCTTTCTTTAGTGCCTTATAATTTTCCAAGTACAGATCATTTACATCCTTGTTTAAATTAATTCCTAGGTATTTTATTTTTTGATGCAATTGTAAAGGGGATTGTTTTCTCAGTTGCCCTTTCTGATAGTTCACTATTGGTGTATAAAAATGTGACTGATTTTGAGATATTAATTTTGTATCTTGCCACTTTATCAGTTCTAGTGGTGTTTTTGGTGGAATCTTTTAGGTTCTCTATATTCAGTATCACATCATCTGCAAATAATGAGTTTCAC